CACCTTCCCCCCCCCCTCTTCTCTCTCGACCGTCCGCTCTTCTGTATCCGCCCACCCCTTTCCCCTCATTCCCCTACCGTTTGCGAAAGTAAACGCATTTGTCGCGCCCCTCAAAGTCCTTTTTCAAAGCGAGCGAACATTCAAGTGTCCTTCGCCGGTCCGCAGCTTCGCCGGTGCGGCGTGGCGCAGTGTGGCGCAGCGCGCTCAAAGTATGCGAAAGTTGGTAAGGTGCGCTGCGCAGTGCTTGGCCTCGCCCAGGCGCAGTGGAGTTGCTCATATTTCTCGTGCCGTCATTGTTTTGGAAGCGTTCCCGATCCGCTCTCACTCTCTCTCCTCTCCCTGCTTTCTGTCTGTGCCATCGTACGATGACTGGGGTTCAACACCCGCCGTTTCCAAATGCAAAAATAATAGATTACCTTTGAGTGTCCATCTGGTATTGTTGTTATTGGCTCGTAACCGCTCATAGCCGAACTGAAGAGATCTACCCTGGAAACTTGAACTTGGTTGTTTTGGGACGAATTGAATTACTCGCACTGGCGCAGTATCATGATGAGGCCCATATGCTAATCCAGACCATCCCTGTTCCAGGTACTGGCCTCGGCCCAGACTCCAGGCCTGCGCCCCAGGCGGCTATGCTGGGTAGAGCCCCTCAGCTCGTTGCGATAGTGCTCAGTAAGTCACTGGCCCGGGACGGGAGGAGCCGGCCCGGGCTGCGGACAGCAGGCCACTCTCCCGAGACTGCAATCGACTCGAATTTATGGCAATCTTATCTTCTTACATCCCGACCGGAGAATATTCTGGCGGATTCAGCCAAGTCGGACGAGGGGAGTGTTGCGTTAGGGATGTCTATATGGCGGCGTGGAGGGTGGGGGTGTTAATAAGATACTGGAGTGTCCAGGGGAGGGTCGAGAGAGGGTCCTGGAGAGTTCTCCTTAGTGGTCCCGGTGGGAGAGTGGGAGAGCTGGTGAGTGAGAGGGAAGGGAGGCGCGGCGAGGCCTAGGATGGCGTTTTCGTTTACTGTTTTGACCCAACCTGCGTAGGGAGAAGCGCCCCCACCCCCCTCCCTCTCCCTCCCGCCACTCCCTTCTCTCCCTCACTCCGTTTTATGCCACGAAAGAGGCCCTGCCCAGATATAAATATCAGGTTCGGAGGAAGTCACAAATAAGCTGTCTTTTTTTTGGCCTTTAAGTTGGTGGACGGGGGAGGGAAGAGGAAGCTGGCAAGGGTGGAGGTGGCGGAGGAGGTGAGGGGTGGGCCTTCCCCTCCTGCTCCGCGTCGATGCCGGTGACTGCCGCGCCCCCTCTGGGCCCTCCGCCGCGCCAGCATTTCACCATTTCTCTGTTTCTTTGGCCCCCTTTCCCTAAGGGAGGCAATAGATTCCACCTCCACCCGCCCGCTGCTGCCCCACCCCGCTGCTGCCGTCACCCCCCGTCCCCACTCCACACGCCACCCCCCGCAGTTAGAAGCCTACGAAGTCGTTATTTTGCAGGTTACGAAGAAAACGGATTCTTCGCAATTACGAAAGCAATTACTTTGCAGGTACAAATCCTTGCAAGGATCCTTCGCAAACTACGAAAGATCCTGTTTTGTAATTTACGATGCAACCACTGTGTGGAGCCTTTATATGTTGCCAGGCCAACAGGATTTCCTTGCAATTACAAAGCAAATATTGCCTTGTTATTATTGCTTTCAAATCAACAAAGTAAAACTTCGTCCCCCGCCCCCCCCCCACAATGCTCCTACCGATGTTTTCCAACCTACCCCACTGTGCTCATCCACACGTAGTTCGTGCAAAAATCTTGTAATAATAAGAAGAAAAAATCCAGCAGGGCGACCTTTAGTTCCTTTCAATTTCTGTTGTTAAGTGCCTTCTTGAAAGATGACCAGTTTAAGACCTAGACTAATGCTAGCTCTTGGGCTGATGGCATCCAGCCCCGCTGGAGCTGGAGATGCTGATGCGGTGCATCGGGTTCCTCCTCCTCGAAGATGAGATCCCCCCCACTCTAGTGGTGGAGAAATGGGGGCGGGTGGGTACGCCATAGTAACCTGCGTCATCTATTTGGGGTTAGATCAGCGCCAGTTCTGTAATTTTACAGCTCAAAAACTTTGCGACTTTCCTCGCATGTATAATTATCCCGTAAAACTTTTGAATATTTTTCATGACATCGGCCTGGTCCGATTTTATTCCTGCTCAGCCCTCAGCTATGTTCGGAACCAAAGTTGTCACATTTGGATTTTCGTTTCCTGCTTTTATTCGAAACTTTTCTCTTCTGAACTGCTGACGCCGCTGCTGACGTCAGTTAGGTCGACCTCGACCACCTCATCTCCGCCTTTCCTTTCGGTCTCCCTTTTTTCCGCAACTGCTTCATTAACACTTCCTCCGGTTTTTCTTTCTTAGGCATACGAACTAACTTGTCTTAATGATCGGCTTTCCTTCTCGTTCTCGTTTGCTCTCCTCGCCGCCTGCAAAGAGAACGTGGTCGGGAGTGGGCGGTGGGGGGACGGGGTGTTTCTTTTTACTGCCCCGTTCGTTTTGGCCCCCCCATTGCGATACCGATACTCATTTCGATATGTATCACGTCTCGATATTGCCGTTTGTGGATGGGGTGACGCGACGTGGCATTGGCGTCCGCACTCCTCTGGAGCATCTCAGTGTGAACAAAACAAACGTTCGAGCAAACACATTGGAAAAACAAAACAGGTTCTAACTCCTACCTCTGAAAGGCACTAAGCG